CTCCCCCACCTCCCACCAACCCCGCCGTCGAGGACCCCGCAACTACCACGCCGCCACGCCTAGTCCCTCCGCCCCGCCACGCCTCGCCGCACCCCGCCACGCCCGGCCTCGCCAGGGAGCGCCCTGGCCACCCTGCCAACGCGACCCCCTCGCGGGCTCCGCAGGCTTAACCTCACTTGGACTCGCGGGCCGCCAGTCCGGCTCGTGGAGTGCGCACGCTCTCAACCACCCTCCCCGTTGTGCAGCCCGCGCGGTCTCCTCGGTCAGGATGCCGGCCGCACTGACGACTCCCACCAAGCCAGAGTCCAGGTAATGTAAAGTGGTCACATGAAATGAAATGGAGAGTTAGTTACCTCCTGTTCGGATAGACTGTTACTGTTATTATTTTATAATTTTGACAAGCCTAGACCGGCCCAGACCACTGGTTTCTAATTTATTGAAATTTGACGAGGGAAATGTTTGCGTTCCGGCGCCATTAAAATGTCGTCATTTTGCAACACTTTACTGTTGATGTTATTTTTGTCATCACAGCAATTTTGTTGTTTTACTTGCCGACAAAATACCACGGGACGGTGTAAAGTTGTTTCTTCCCTCACACAAATAAAAGCAGACAACATTTTTATTCAAAATTAATGCATAAGCTGCCTACCGGCTATTTTCAGCTGCAGCGAATGTGAATGCAGCTGCGACGAGAGCGACGGCGGCAACCTGGGCGCGAGGGAAGCTGAGGAGGAGGAGGATGAGGAGCAGCCACTGGCGGAGAAGAGGGTGAGCACCTGGAAGCAGTTCTGCAGGTCAGCAGGGATCCACGGGCTCCACTACCTCGCGCGCGACGGCAGCTCCAAGCTCGAAAGGTACGTGCACATTTGGGTATCCTGTGCGGTGTGCGATATGCCAAATCCCCTCCCCCCCCCTCCTCAACACCCCGTGCTCCCACAGGACGTTCTGGGCTTTCTGCCTGCTGGTGTCCCTCGGGGGCTGCTGTGCGCTGCTCTCCCGTATGTACTACCGGTGGGAGTCCACGCCCAGCATCTCCACGAGCGAGATCCGGGTCCAGCCGCTGTTCGAGCTGCCCATGCCCGCAGTCACCATCTGCCCCGAGCTCAAGATCAAACGCAGCGCCCTGGATGGGATGGAGGGCAACGAGACCGTGGCACAGTTAGTTAATGAGAACGATATTGGATATTCTGAGAATGCCGTATTCGAACTGGTTTGTTTTCTTTTTTTCTAGGCTTGAGCAGGGCCTCAATTCGATGCTCTGCGAAAACACGTCGATTCCAGAGTCTATGAAGACAATAGGAAAAGATCAATTGGATTTCCTAGTAGACGTGAGGAAACATTCGCAAAGCCATTTTGTCGAGTCCCTCCCTACGCGCTCTTGACTAACCACCACATTTACTTGACAGGTGGCGCCGAAATTTTCCGATTTTGTGTTCGGTTTTCGTAGGAAGAACATGTTTTACTCCTCCCTTCAGGGAGATGAGGACGGCTTTGCAGTAGGAGAAGAGTTTTGGCAGCCCATCCTGACCGACGAGGGTTTGTGCTACACCATCAACCTGCTCACTCCGGCCGAACTGTTCAAGGAGGACACGTAAGCCAGCCGCTCACGCATGGTCGCGGTCTGCCTCTGCTCGTGCTGACTACCTTGTCCCTCCTTCAGGGCGCAGCGCGTGCCCCCGCACCCGGACCCCCCCAACGTGACCCGACTCACGGCGGACGGCTGGGACCCCGTCACGGGCTACGCCACCGACAAGTTCAACATGAGCGCGGACGACTCGTACCCGGTGCGTGCCAAGCGCAACGCCCTGAACGGCTTCTTCGTGGCCATGTGCGTCCCCGAGACGGACATGGACTACTCGTGCCGCGGGCCGCTGCAGGGCTTCAAGGCCGTGCTGCACAGCCCGACGGAGCTGCCGCACATGCAGGACTCGGTGCGCGTGCAGCTGGGCGAGGAGACGCTCATGCAGATCCTGCCCTACACCACGTCCACGTCGACCGAGCTCGCCGGCCTGGACCCGTTCCGCCGCGGCTGCTACTTCCCCGGCGAGCGCCAGCTGCGGCACTTCGAGGTGTACACCCAGAACAACTGCGAGCTGGAGTGCGCGGCCAACGCGTCGCACAAGGCGTGCGGCTGCGTCAGCTTCTACATGCCCCGTAAGTGCTCGACCTAAGTGACCTCTGACCTTTCACCCCCAGGCTTCGTACTCACCAGTGTGTGCTCTACCCGGATAGGCTCCCCGGACACGCCCATGTGTGGGCCGGGCAGCAACGAGTGCGTGCGCGAGGCGGAGGGTGAGTACATACCTCGAGCACCTCAGGGGGGCCGCCGTGGTGGTAGGCAGGCCCGCGGCACAGCCGTGCCCAGCGCCGCGACTTGTTGCCTACCCTGCCGGGCGCTCTCACGGGCCGCAGAGGGGGGCCGCCGTCTGGGTAGGCAGGCCCGCGGCACGGCCGTGCCCAGCGCCGCGACATGTTGCCTACCCTGCCGGGCGCTCTCCTCACGGACCGCCCCGCTCTGCTCTCCTTGCAGTCGAGCAGACCCTGCTGGAGATGAACGCCGCCGCCAAGGGCCGCGGCACGCCGAGCGAGACGGGCTGCAACTGCCTGCCGTCCTGCGAGGCCATCGAGTACCGCGTGGACGAGGACCGCGCCAACTTCGAGTGGTTGGAGTCCGTAAAGGCGTGGCGCTACCCGTTCAACTTCTTCGAGGGGTGAGTCACGGGGCAGAGACGGGGCAGAGACCCAGTCGCGGGTAAGTGGCATGAGGTCGAAGTCACCGTGAAACCTCTCCGTGCCCCACAGGAAGGACTGTGCGCGCGTGTCGGTCTTCTTCAAGAACAACGCCGCCGAGAGCAGCCTCCGCAACGAGCTGTACTCGACGGAGAAGTTTTACGGTGAGTGGGGAGCATCAAACGGCAGTATAGTACTCCAGATCCAGAGGCGCGGTGGACGAGCCAACCGTTTGTTTTGCAGCCGCCTGCGCCGCGGTGCTGGGCCTCTTCACGGGCTTCAGCATCATCAACCTCGTCGAGGCCGCGTACTTCCTCTTCATCGGCGTCAAGGGGAGGTTGACGCGCCGCTTCTGCAGCCCGGCTGCAGAGAAGAAGAAGACCAAGAAGAAGAGCGCCGAGGACAAATACTAACGGCTAGATGCGTCGACAAGCTTTCTTTTTCCACTCTTACATTAATTTGTCAGAAACAAGAATAAAACAATAATCGTGTCCTTATAACCGCGTATCTATGTTTCCACCGAGTAGGAGTTTCCGCGCCCTAGGCCAGGCCGGGACAGGGATAACGAGCGACCAGGGAGCTGGCAGGAAAGTATTACGTGATGAGGTCACACGATGGCCGCAGCCGCCGCCCGACAGGAAAGCCCCCAGGACGTCCCGCCCCGTGCCGCAGAGTGCCGCCATCCCCATGCGTTTCTCTCCCCCATTCTCCCCTTTTTGCCCCCACCCTCCGTGCGTCCGCGGGTCGCATCCCCCCCGAGGGCTGGCTGGAAGGGGCCCCACCCGGCCGGGGCCCCTGCGCCCGTGGCCGCCGCCCCACAGTCCTGTCGAGGCCGCCGCGCACAATGCAGGCCCCCGACGACGACAGGTAAGGCTCCCCGGCCAGCTGCGGGCCCCGCCCCGGACCTCCCTCACGGCCCTCTTGGTGTGCACCCAGCAGCATCCCCGAGCAACCACCTCACCCGCTCCCAGATCCTTCGGATGGCGCGGTCCGTGCACGCCAGTCCTTTCGGGGGGGCCGCACCCGCGCCATGGACGACGCCGGGGCCGAGGCCGAGGCTGAAGCAGAGGCCGACGGGTAAGTAGCGTGTCGCCATACGGGCCCGGGTAACTGCCCTCCTCACGGCGTCCATGTCGTCACAGCGCACCGGCACCGGAGCGCCGCATGTCCGTGCTGGACAGCAGCAGCAAGCCGCCCAGGAACTCGACCGGCGACTCCTTCTCGGAGGAGAGGAGGCCGAAGAGGTCGCGACGCTCCCTGCGGCGCTCGCTCTACAGGAGGCAGAGAGACTACCTTGCCGATTGCTGGAAAGCGTTCTGCAATTCGGACGCCCTGCACGGCCTGGGCTACGTTGTTCGCGGGCACTTCTCGGCAGTGGAGAGGTTAGTGCCAACAGGGTTGACATAGCGCATAGCGCCTTCCAAAGCTCTCTTGTTTACGTTTTATTTTTCATCTGCACAGGGGGTTCTGGGCGTTTTGCATCTTGCTGTGCATCATCATGTCCGTCCTGTACATCGACATGGTGTACAGGCGCTGGGATGAGGCTCCGCCCGTACTGTCCGTGCCGTCCCTGGCACCCATCTGGGAGGTGCCCTTCCCCGCCATCTCCATCTGCCCCGCCAACACGTAAGTCCATGTGACTCGTACTGGCCATAGCAGAAGCCTAACAACGCTTTCGGTGGCGAATGTGTTGTAGGGAGGAGGCGCACGGTGGAGACCAGCCCCGACGAGATATACCTGCGTCGCGAGAGGTTAGTCTTCCGAAGTGGAACCAGTCGATACTGTTGACAGAAAACGCTCGCCCAAGGCCCACGTAAGTGCCGGAAACTTCTCCGCTCGATTGTGCTGCTCACGAATAAAATACCGCTGGTAAAGACGTGTGATTTCCGCTTTTAACAGGGCGATAAACCTCGGCTTCGAAGTCTGCTACGGCGCGCCCGGCGGAATGCGTGAAGTTGGCAAGTGCATCAAGACGATGAAAGAGGTAAAAAATATATTTTTTGATAAGAAAAAAATTGATTGGATATTAGTATTTCGTTGTCTACTGTTATTTATTTTATTTCGTAGAAAGCACCAGCTTTGAAAGATATTGTGCTCAGTGCCTTTTGGAACGGTATTCCTCTTAATTTGAATCAGGAAGTGTTCCCAACAGTCGTATCGGACGGAGGGATTTGTTACACTTTTAACATGCTGGATACCAATGACATTTTTACAAAAGACGCGTAAGTGTGACTCTTGTTTATCTATTTTTAAATTAATAAAAATTTCATCTCAAAAATCTTATTTTTCTTGGAGAAAATTGAATTTTTTTATCCATTTCTTTTAGTATATTCATGTTTCTTCACAGCGGCGGTAAGCCCAGAGATGCGTTGCAGTGGACTTTGGAGAATGGCTACCCTCGCGACTTCAAGTGGGAGTCCGTGCCTCGGCGTACACTCAGGAACTCTCCCAAAAATGGATTGTACTTCACCATGCAAGGGAAAAATTCTTATAAGGTGAGTGGAAGCGGATTGGCAGCCGATGAGTAGAAGACATTTATGAAAAGTAGTT